ACTGATTGCTGGAGAAGGATATCATATTTGGTAGGGTGGAGGGTCAGAGAAAAAGAGGAAGACCCCAACGAGATGGATTGGCCAAGTGGCAGCATCGATGGACTCAAGCGTGGCAATGGTAGTAAGGTTGGCCTAGGATCGGGCAGTGTTTCGTTCTGTTGTGTATAAGGTTGCTATGGCTTGGTACCTACTCAATAGCACCTAACAAACAACAATGTTTACTCAAAAGACTAAGAAACAAAGACACCCCAGTAACAATGAGCACATGTATCACCCAGCTCTTGACCCCTTACTCCATTGCCTACTAAAAGAAACCAGGACTCCTCACTGAAATAGAAATGATTAATCCATGGCTGGGGCAGAGTTGATACAAGAATAACCTGGAATATCTTGTTATACCAGAAAGTAAGAAAGTACTCACATTAATGATGAGAACATGTCACATAAATACAGGAACCAGGTTGAAAGGACAGTTCAGGCACCAAAGTAAATACAGTGATAGGGAGTCTGGTAGCTCAGTGGCTCAGTACTCCCTTGCTGACTGTAAAGGTGGGCAGTTCAAACCCATCAGCTGCTCTTAGGGAGAAGGATGTAGCAGTCCACTTCTGTAAAGGTGTATTATCTTTGAAACTCTGTGGTGGGGCAGTTCTTCTACTGTGTCCTGTAGTTGCTAAGAGTTTGAATCAACTTGACTGTAATAGACTAATGGGGTTAATGAATTATAAACCATTGGGGGAAGGTAGGAATTCATGATTCCTTAGTGACAATAAATAGATAAGAAGGGAAAGGAAGCGCTCTTACTTAACAATAACATATTGAGGGTCAATGTGGAGAGAATGCTGGAGTTGGAAAACCATCATTTTGTAGCCAGTTTATAATAAAGATCAAATCAGGGAAGAATCAGTGAAAACTAAATCTAGGGGGGAATTTTGGTCAGCAACAGTATATTGGCAGTGTTGGAAAGTGTCTTCCTAAAGTGTCTTCCTATACACTGGTGTGGTGGCGTAGGATAAGTACCAGACAGCTAACCTCAAGATCAACAGTTCAAACCCTCCAGGCAATCTGCGAAAACCCTACACCAGATCACAAGGAGTCAGAACCGACTTGATGGCACTTACAACAACATCCATATACAATGTTTATATTAGCTCCATTGAGGAAAAAAAAACACAAAACTATAGTGAAGAAATTAAGCAATATTTTGACTGTACAATCAAAGGTAGTATCAGACAAGTGAACATTGTGTGCTTCCAGATGTGTACTCTGAAGAGGACACTACAATCATTTATATGGTATTCCAGATGAGAATGTATAACATTAATCTAATTACAGGAAGCTTCAGACAAACACAAAGTAGGATTTTTTTTTTTTTTAAGAGAGGAGTGACTTGTGTTGTTTAATCCAAATATGGTTAAGTGCCATCGAGTCCACTCCTTCCAATTTGCTACCCTGTATAGGTTTTCCACGGAGTGACTGGTGGTTTTAAACCACTGACTTGCAGTTATTATCCTACAGTGCCATACCAAGACTCCAATCCATTCTTATCAATGGAGAAAAGATTGAAGTTGTCAAGGACTTCATTCTTCTTGGATCAACTATCAACACTCGCGGAAGCAGCAGTCAAGAGATCAGACGACGTATTGCATTGGGCAAATCTGCTTCACAGGAACTTTTTAAAGTATTGAAGAGCAGAGATGTCAGCTTGAGGACTAAGGTGCACCTGACCCAGGCCATGGTGTTTTCAATAGCCTCATATGGATGCGAAAGCTGGACAGTGAATAAGGAAGATCGTAGAAGAATTGATGCCTTTGAGTTGTGGTGTTGAAGAATACTGAAAGTGCCATGGACTGCCAAAAGAACCAATAGATCTGTTTTGGAAGAAGTGCAGCCAGAGTGCTCCTTGGAGGCCAGGATGGCTAAGTTTTGTCTCTCATATTTTGGACATATTGTCCGGAGGAAACAGTAGCTGGAGAAGGATGTCATGCTGGGTAAGGTGGAGGGTCAGAGAAAAAGAGGAAGACCCCTAACGAGATGGATTGGCCAGGTGGCATCATTGATGGACTAGAGTGTGGCAGTGGTAGTGAGGTTGGCCCAGGATTGGACATTGTTTCGTTCTGCTGTGCATGGGGTCGCTATGAGTCGGTTCTGACTCGATGGCACCTGACAACAACAACAAAATGACATGGCCAATATCTGCAATAAAGACTGTATCCTATACTAGAAGGAGAAAGGAATTCTATAAACAAAGGGTATTATCAACTGAAAACATTAAAATATGGACAGTATATTACAAGTATTGTATCAATGTAAATTTATGTAATTAGTAACTATACTATGGTTCTGTAATAGAATAGTCTTCTTAGGCAGTATACAGAAGTATATAGGGATGAAGGACATGATGTGTATAACATACAGTCCTATGATTTAGAAAAATTTATGGTTATATTATTATACAGAGTGCATATGTTAAAGTGAATGGGTTAAAATATTAATAGGTGAATCAGGGTAAATGCTGTTGTCTTGTTCTTGATACTATTTTTGTTTTTATTAGTTTGAAAATATTTGCTGATTAAAAAGTTAAAAGAATGATGAGTAGCTAGCTATTAAAGCAAAGATACAGTGTCTCAGATTTATTTTATCATTCATATCCACTTATAATTTCATTAGAATTCCACTATCCATCTTTATTGTCACACTGTATTTCAGAAATAATAAGCACTGTTTAAATGAGAAGAAATACAAATGCAGTGTAATGAACAAGACTAAAATATACTCTTTTTTTCTCTCCAGGTTCAAGATTCAGGTGATGTGATTACAGAAGGTAGGATTCGTGTGGTTTTCAGCATTCCGTGTGAACCCAATCTTGATGCTTTAATACAGAACCAGCATGTGAGTACAGCCGTTCATATTGTTTCATTTATTAAGTAGGTTCAATAATTTTTTTAAATGTTAGAAGTATATTTTTATTATTTTCTTTGAATTTATAGTTCAATAGGACAATCCAGTATATGACATGATAGTTGGATTCTTTGTCCCCTACTAAGTGCTAGTTGTTGTTGTTAAGTGTCATCAAGTCAGTTCAGACTCATAACAACCCTGTGTAAGGTTTCTGAGGAAAGACTAGGGTGCTAGTAGTCCGTGCCAATTATTGTAACTGAATGTGCCCCTCTCTGGTGGTGGTGGTGGTTGTTGTTAGGTGCCATCGAGTTGGTACTGACTCAGACGAGCTTATGCACAGCAGAACGAAATGCTGCCCGATCTTGGGCCAACTTCACTACTGTTGCCATGCTTGAGTCCATTGATGCTGCCACTTGGCCAGTCCATCTCATTGGGGTTTTCATCTTTTTCTCTGACCTTCCAACTTACCAAACATGATATCCTTCTTCAGTAACTGGTCTCTCCTGACAATATGTACAAAGTATGAGAGACGAAATTTGGCCATCTTGGCCTCCAAGGAACACTCTGGCTACACTTCTTCCAAAATAGATCTGTCCCTGGTGGTAGTGGTGGTTATGTGCCGTGAAATCAGTTCCAACTCATAGCAATCCTGTATAGGGTTTCCAAACAGTATAAATCTTTACAGGAGCAGAAAGTCACATCTTTCTACCATGGACTGCCTAGTGGATTTAAACTGCTTTCCTATGGTTAGCAGCCCTATTTGTAACCGATTATGCTAACAGGGCTCCTTCAATATTTCCCAAGACATTCCCAGATGCTTATTAGAAAGAGTAAAGGTAACTGCCTATAATTAAGAATTATTAAAATATACTTAGTTTATCTATTTTATTTCTAAATCTGTTGATGATCTTGATGAAAAAAACTATGTTTCATTTTTTCCTAATATAGTTACAAACTTTAATAGTCACTTTATATTCCAGGCCACAAAACAAAGAAGTGGCCCATTTTGGAAAACATTGTTGACATCATCAAAGAAATAAAGATTGCCAATTTAATTACTTGCCAATTTCTGGAAATTTGATAATTTGTTGGTGTTAAAATGTATTCGTGTATTCATGTAAAATAAATATGTATTTTTGTTATGTACATTGTTAGCAGTGTATATGGGAGCTTACCTTAGTTGTTATTAGATTTGTGAGATGACTTTCGAGTTAAAGAGCTATGATCTGTTACTTTTTTAATTTATATGATTAGACAGTTTCCATGGTCTCTTCCCTTATGTATACAAATTATGATTATATGCTACTGTGTTTTGAGCATATTCATACCTGTTATTTTTAAATGATAGTTGTTAAGTGCTGTTGAATCAATCATGACTCATAACAACCCTGTACAGGGTTGCCAAGGAGCAGATGGTGGTTTTGAACCACCGACCTTGTAGTTCTCGGTCCAATGCTTATCATATAGTGCTAAGTATTAGATAAAATGAATTATTACTTATGTCAATATATAAGGGACTCTTAATTTTGTTTAGTAGCACCTATTTTGATGGCATACTTTTGTTTTAATTCAGTCGAATAGTTATTGAAAATTCATCTTGTGGCAGGTACTGTGTTAGTCTCTGCTTAGAATGTGAAAATTAGTTTATAAAACAAACAAACAAAAACTCTTGCCTATGGAGTTTTCCTAAACATAGTACTTACATTAAATTATTGAGACGGTTTCATAAACTGTATATTTCCTCCCTCTTTGGAATTCATCCTTGGGAATTCTGTTCTTTAAGGAGAAAAAGAGGAGCAGAAAATTTCTGCGTTTAAACGAAAGGGAAATGGATCACTTGCTTTTGAGAATCTTTGCATTTCCACAGTCCAATGGTTAGTGATGTGTTGATTCTCTCCACATTTTAAGGAAAAGAAACAGCATATAATGCCCTTATGTTCCTATAACTGATCTTTTTGTTTTTATATTTAAGAAATATTCTATAAAGTACAACCCAGGATATGTGTTGGCAAGTCGCCTTGGAGTGAGTGGATACCTTGTTTCAAGGTTTACAGGAAGTATTTTTATTGGAAGAGGATCTAGGAGAAAGTAAGTTTGCACTAGAGAAATGTATTTAAAGTGGCAGAAAAATTAAATGATACCGATAAAATGGTTAATATTTCAGTTTTATTTTTCTCATTAATTTCTGTGAATTTTCTTTTTAAATTGTACATAGATATCTCTGGTGGTGATCTTTATCTGAATTACAAATGTTTTAGATGCTTGGAAAGTTTTTTGTAGAGCTAACAAATTGAACCTTGAAAAAAGGTATCAGAGGATGTGTGTGAATCAAAATACTGTATTTCCCTGCATTTATTATTTTATTTTCCACTCTCATTATATAGTTTATAATCTTTGTTATCTTGGGTTTTGAGGTCTTTCCTCAAGTTTTTCAGGTACAAAAACATAACATCTAAAATAGAGAACAACAATCAAAGCTAACCTTTTCTAAGGATTGAAAACATAACTTTTCCTAGACCAAAATTTTAAAACTTCTTGTGTATATGTGTGGTTTGCACTCAGCCCTCATGGAGACCATAAAGCAAATGTTGGTTTGAATCTCAAATTCAACAAAAAAAATGAGGAGGTTCCTGGATATACCAAGAAAGTTGGAAGTGAATGGATGTATTCATCTGCAGCAGAACAACTTCTTGCTGAGTACTTAGAGAGGTAAGTGCTTATAAGGATCCTGTTGTTCTTGTTTGTTGTTAAGTGCCGTTGAGTCAATTCCGATTCATAGTGACCCTGTGTACAGTTTCTGAGGAGCAGCGGGTGAGCTTGAACTGCAGACTTCGCGATTCAAATCGACTTTGAAGTCCAGTACATAAACCCACAGTACCATACCAGGACTCCAGATATCTAAAAACATAGGACTGTAATAACTTTATTTATTTTGCCTTGCCTTTTAGAAGTAAAATGTTTTCTTTAGTAAAATATGGCATGTTGTTAATAAACGTTATTTTGTATTTTGGAGTCAAAGTCACAGTTATTAGCTAAAATAGAGTAGAAAATACTGCATTTATATTATTATGTAAGATGGTGGTGGTTATGTGCTGTGGAGTCAGCCCCAACTCACAGCAACCCTGTATAGGGTTCCTGAGGCTATAATCTTTACGGGAGCAGAAAACCTCATCTCTCCTGTGGAGTGGCTGAGAGATTTGAACTGCTGACCTTGTAGTTAACAGACCATGTAACCTACTGTGCTAGAAACTTAAGAAAATTGACTACCTTTTGATTTAAAATTTCCTTAAATTACTGTCAAAAGTTATTCAGTATTCTACGTGTCTGTGTCAGTAGTAAGAGGACTGGAGTGGATAAACAAAACAGCTGTTGACATAGTGGATTTTCATGTTTTATAATCCCAACTAGACCAAAACTTACTTTGCTGAAATGGGCTATAAATTCAACAAGTCTCAACTCCTCATTATTAAAAACGAGAAAACTAAGTACCAGAGTTAATTGAGTTATTCAGTTGTGAAGATTTGCAGGAAATATTTTTGTTTCTGATTCACAATTGAATATTCTTTCCATTATTCCTTTGGTTTGGTTTCTAACCTTTTCATGTTTGTGGATCCTATTGGAGAATGCTTCATATTTCACTAAATTATCATACTTAGTTTTATTTTAGTGGATTTTCAACACAACGTAACCCTAGATTTCCTACTATTGAAAAAGCTTTAACTATCTTCTGTATACCCCGGTATACATATACAAATATTTCCTTTCTCCCCTCATCTCTCACTATTGCTTCATTCCAGTTTTAGATTAAATTCATATTGAAGGTTTACAACTATTAATGTAAATGCTGTTCACAGCTGGACCTCATAGTATGTTATAATTACATTTTTTCCTTGTACTTCTTTTTTCCCTGCTTTGTTCTTCTTTTAATTATTATTACTTGCTTATTTTTATATGTTTCCAAAATGAATTTAGTGCTAAATTATGTTCCATCACTTGAAAACTGTATAGTCAAACAATCATCAGATAGTCTCGCAGTTTCATTTTCCTCTTGGAGACTTTCTTCATAAACCAGCTGTTGCTCCTGCTTCAGGTAGATCTAACTGTTCTCTAGGCCTGTGGCATAGATCTCATTGTGGTATTTTCCTTTACTGTCATCCTGTGGCTACCGTTCGTCTGTCAGTTTGTTGTGCTGCAGTGACTTGTGTGTTGATATGAAACTGGAAGCTACTCCACTGGTATTTTGAATACCACATGGTGTACAGGGTCACACATTGTGTACAGATTTCAGTGAAGCTTACAGAGTAAAACAGACTAGCAAGAATGAGAGGCAGCATGTCTGCCCTTGTCTACGGGGCTGGACGCCCTATTTTGCAAAATCGAATAAAGAAAACCTCACTCTCACTTTAAAAAAAAAAAAAAAAAAAAGGAATGAGAGGCATACCACTTGTGAATGGCTAGCCCTTGAAAACCTTATAAATAGCAGCAGGACAATGTCTGATGTATTGCTAGAAAATGAGCCCCTCATATTGGTGTTTGTTTTGTGATGTGCTGTGGAGTCGGTTCCCACTCATAGCGACCCTGTACAGGGTTTCCGAGGCTGTAAATCTTTATGGGAGCAGAAAGCTTCATCTTTCAACAGCGGAGCTGCTGGCAGTCATATTGGAAGGCACTCAAAATACAACTGGGGAAGAGCTGCCTCCTCAAAAAGTAGAGTTGACTTTAATGGCGTGAATGGAGTAAAGCTTTTGGGGCCTTTATTTGTTGAAGGGCATAACTCATAATGAGAAGAACCAGTTGCAACCATCCATTAATAATCAGAATGTGCAAAGTATTGAGTTTAGGAAAACTAGAAGTTGTCAAAAAGATGGAACAAATAAAGATCAATATTTTAACAGTGATGCATACTCAACCTTGGAAAAAGAGAACTGTGTGATACAGGGATCAAGGCATAGTTTGAAGAGGGGAAATAATACTAAGATGCTAGACCATCTTATGTATATTAGTTTCCCTTGCCTACTATGGTAAAATGGACACTTGAGTTGGATAGAAAGGAATGATCACAGAAAGCTTGTAAGCCCGTCTTCAGCATATAACTGATTGGAACACCTCAACAGAGTTCTAGAACTTGCGCAGTGAAATAGGCCTCCTGTGGAGCCTTTGCAGTATACAGGACCTTAGATGGAATCCTGAGCCCCATCCAGAACCTTCTGAAGTAGGCCATTCCCGCTAGAACGGACAAGCAGACCAGCCTAGAACAGCTAGAGCAGCAGAAGATACATCTTCAAAGAAAGATAACCAGGAAAAACCCAAAACAAAAATAACAGTATGACTGGCTACTACAAGAAAAATCAAGTTGTTCCCCAGGAAGCCATGAAGGCAAACAATCAAGTCCCTTCAGGACAAACCCCCTCTAAGACTGAAACTCAAAGGGAACACACAAACAAGCATATAAGCTTGCTGGCTACCACATTGCTCTACTGGTGAGTGGAAGAAGGGGAAAGGCAGCAATGAAGAAATGAGCGGAGTTCAACCATGTTCCACAGACTCCCGTTGATCTGGAGATGAGAAACAGAAGAGGAAGGGCTGGTTGATCCAATGTGTGGTGAGACCTGGGGACACCTGAGCCCATGGACAAGGACATAGCCACAGAGGGCTAAAGTTGAGAGTGAAGCATCCTGCTGATATGAAGTGAAAGGAGATGCACAAGAACACCCAAAGTTGCAGATAGTACCCATTTGACCTAGCCTTGATGACTTGATAATCAGAACTCGACCAGAAGAAGATTCAAAAAAAGAACAAAACAATTTTTGATAAAGGAAATGAGGGTAAATTGCTACAATTTGATGAACTTGACCTAAAGCTCATGGAGTAACTCCAAATACCAACAGAGAGGGATAGAGTCTTCACATCAGTGCTATCCCCTCTGTACACAGGGTAGATAGGGATGGGCAACTTAGACATTGGCTACTTAAAATGGGGTGATAAAGGAATGAAGTGACTGGCTTACAAGGTCAAGGGGGAGTTTAGTTTAATAGTGTGTAGGGAAAAAAGAGTCCCCACTGAATAGTTTTCATCTTGTCTAGATGGGTCTGGTAAAAAGAGATGGGCATAAGATTCTTATGATTCAGTAGTGAGTAATTGTTATGACTAATTGCAACTGTCACAGTAGTAAAGGTAGAAGTTTTGTAACAAAAGCAGGAGAGTAGTTAATCTTACAGTCCAGAAACAAAGAACTCTAGGACTATCAATGGAGACGAGCACAAGCAGAATGTGAGACCTTATCCAGAGAAGCAGTGACACCAGAGATGGAGGCAGAGATGGGGATATGGAGAGAGGAAGCTGCTAGATTCATGGGACGAGAGGGACTAATAGATGGCGGCCAGGAGACAGACTTGCAGAATGTGCCCTTTGGTGGTTTATATTATTATATATGCCAGAGTATTTGAAAAAAAAAAAAGTTAAAGTGAATAGAGATAAATACTGTTAACTAATGATACATGAAGGGTATTATAATCATTGTAATGAAACAAGGTGTATGATTTGTTGAATGTAAAACTGATGATCTGCCCTGTAAATGTTCACTCAATCCACAATAAAAACTTAAAAAAAAAAAGTTATTAAGTTCCATCAGCAAATCTGTATATTTGAAAGTATTTTTCTGTATTTATAAAACATGATATGAAATTCATTTGACTTAAAAAAAATCAGTATCCTAGGTATAAGTGAACTTAAGTGGACTGCTGTTAAAATTTTTAATCAGACAATCATATAGTTACTATGACAAATTAAAGAGGACTGGTGTCGTATTCATAGTCAAAAAGAGCATTTCAATATCTGTCTTGAAGTACAGTGCTTGTCTATGATAGGAAAATATCCATTGCTTACAAGTATGATCAGTTAATAAAGCTTTTGTTCAAATTTATGCACCAGCCACTAACAACAAAGATTATGAAATTGTAGAATCCGGTCGGAATCAACTCAGTGGCACTTAACAACAACAATAACAACTTCTTCGGTCTGAAAATGACCAAGCGTTCAATCAAGATGCATTGATAATTGCTGGTGGTTGGATAGGAAAGTTGGAAATTAACAGGAATATCAGTAATTGGAAAACATGACATTAGTGATAAAAATGATGCTAGAGATGGCATGATTGAATTTGGAAAACTAATGACTTGTGCATAGCAAATATCTTTTTTAGACAACATAAACATGAGATGCACTTGGGATTTAACAACAATATACGGACCTCACCAGATGGCCTACACAGGTCTCAAATTCACTACATCTGTGGGAAAAGACCATGGAAAAGCTCGATATCATCAGCCAAAACAAGGCCAGATGCCAACAATGGAACAGATCATCAGTTGCTCCTATGCAAGCTCAGGCTGAAACTGAGAAAATTAAATCAAGTCCATGAGATCCAAAATATGACCTTAAACATATCCCATCTGAATATAGAGACAGTCTCAAAAAGAGATTTGATGCATCAACACTAATAACCGAAGATCAGAAGAGTTGTGGGATGACATCAAAAACATAATACAGGAAGAAAACAGAAGGTCACTAAAAAGACAGAAAAGAAAAGGCCAAATGGATATCAAAACAGACTCTGAAACTTGCTCTCCAGCATAGAGATGCTAAAGCGAATGGAAGAAATGAGGAAGCCAAAAAACTGTACAGAAATTTTCAAAGGGTGGCTTGGAAGA